GAGAGAGAGAGAGAGAGAGAGAGAGAGAGAGAGAGAGAGAGAGAGAGAGAGAGAGAGAGAGAGAGAGAGAGAGAGAGAGAGAGAGAGATTGCTATAATCTGTGGGCTTTTCTGGTGTTTTGCGGATTTGCCGATTCGTTGCAGGAATCATTCGGTCATTTGTTGTCCGCTTTGCTGTGGAAAATTGGACATCATTCAGTTGTTTCAACTTTTCTCTTTTTTTTTTTTTTTTTTTTTTTTTTTTTTTTTTTTTTTTTTTTCTGGGAACCGGACCCAGCGTCCCATACGAAAAATTCGTCACCCAAATCATTGATTTTGAAAACCGTTCATTTTTTGTCTGCTGCAAGAATTCTCTGAGGAATCCTCCTCTGTTGATTGTTTGTTGCAGATATCATCTGATCTTGTATTGTGGGAAGCAATTCTGTGGGAAGCAATTATTTGTTTCTTGTGGTGGCCATCATTCTGCAGGCCTCGCCTTTCCACACACGAAACGAGAAAGGAAAAAATGAAAACGAGTGCTTCTTGCCGCCATTCGTTACTCTTCATGTTAACGGATAAATCTTTCAACCTTCTCTGCATTTTTTTGAAAATTTATTTTCTATTTTTTTTTTGTTTGGAGGACCCTGTGGCGCAGGACTTGTTCTGTTGTTTGTCACAGACATCATCCAGTCATCAGTCCAACAGAAAACGCACTAACCTTGCTCTGCTCTTTACCTTGCTCTGCTCTTTGCCTTGCTGTGCTCTGATGATATTCTGCTTGTGTGCTGACGGAACCAGGGATTTCTTTATAGGACCTAAGGCAGTTGTTGCAAAGCAGGTTAGTGTATCAGGACAGTCACTGTCTTTTATTTCATGTATTCTGAGTGCTGGGTGCTTATACAGTTTTTCTAGATACAGAACGGTTGGTATTTTAACAAGGGATACGTGAGGCATACTCACACTATAGCTTTTTTATATGTATTTGACTGGTTTTATGGTGAGGTGCAGTCAAAAAAACTCTTTAGTGTGATGTCTGGCAGGTACCATTTTGCCACATGATTTCTGAGACAAATTTAACTGGGGTGCACCGTGTCTTGCTCTTGGACAGGTGCTTTAAACCACCAGTACCTTCCCATGCTTGGAAAACAAAGGCGCAGCGGATAACATGGAGGCCCGATTCGGCCTCCAGCGCAGGCCAGATACATCGGCCGCGTTTGGCATGCGTTGCCCGCGGCAGATGTATGAGAAAGGTACTGGCGGTTTAACAGGGTTTTTGGGGATGTTAGCAAGGGTTTTGGGGTTGGGGGACGGGGGGTCGGTTAATGAGGGGCTCCCCAGGAGGGAGGTAAAGGCATGGGGTTGGGACGGGGAGGGGCAGTAACAAGGCATTTAAGGGGGGATTAACAAGGCCTCTGATGAGGGGTTCCCTGGGGGGGGGGAGGTGGTCAGTGACAAGGCATTAGGAGAGGGAAAGGGGGGTTGAGCAAGGTATTTTTGTGGGAGGGGGTAAGGAAGGGCAAACAAAGTGTTCTGAGGGTTAATCATAAAAGTTATTGAAAAAAAGAAAAAACCGTTGAACCATAAGAGAGACTATGTGAAGGTTGTTTTGCTATTTAGTAAGCCTTAGGGTAAAAAAAAAAAAAAAGCCTTAGGGTGGATTTATTTTGTCTATAGGACAGCGAGTTACTGACCCTGGACGGCCTTTTTTGTTGAAGAGAAATTATATCAAACGTTTTGAAATATAGTGTGAGTGGTAAGTAGATAGTGAAAGGTGAAATCGAATGAAAAAAAAATAAATAAATTACTTGAAGATGAAGGAAGCACTCATAGGAAGGAAAAAGTGGGAGATTTCTGCATCAATCTGATTGTGACAGATGTCCTTCTGTCCCTACATGACAGCCATTTAAGCCACCAGTACATACTGGTTGGTGCGGTCGTTAACGCGGTAGTCGAATCGGTCTGCCCCTTGGGTCCATATTCTTTCGATCTGGGGGGGTATGAAAAATGCGGTAGGTACTGGTGGTTTAAATTTGGAATCTCACTCCACAGGTCTGTACGGTCCAAAATTTTCGGGAAGGGTGTTGGGTTTGGCGGTAGTCTTTTAGTGAAGGAAGCTGCCATACCAGTTATAGTTAATAACTTAATAGTCGTATTAGGCAAGTAGGTTTTCGCAGCCATGAGCTGGTGGGTCTGTAGGAAAGGACCTGCAGGCTTTCAGCATGTAAGCTAAGCTGGATGATGCTTCCAGATACCTATGCTTGAACCGGGAGTAATGTAGAAGACCCTGGCCTCTGGATTGATCAAGTAATGGAATTTGAGTTTTGAGGGGAAAAAAAAACAAAAAAATTCGGGAAGTAAAAATAATCATAACAAGTCACAGGCGTGCCGCGGCAGGCGGGGCGCTGGCATGTGACCCTGCGCCACCAGTATGCTGTAAGGATAGTCAGAGTGTGAGCACGCCCTAAGTTGCCTGAAGTCCCAGTGTGAGTATGTCCCAAAAGGTCCCCAAAGTCAGTATGCTCGTAACTGTGGACAGATACATTGAAAAGAAATCCCGGTGTGAGTATGGACTAAGGAGCTGTCAGATGTAAATGTCCCACACACACACACACACACACACACACACACACACACACACACACACACACACACACACACACACACANGAGAGAGAGAGAGAGAGAGAGAGAGAGAGAGAGAGAGAGAGAGAGAGAGAGAGAGAGAGAGATTTCTATCCATAGGATGAGCAAAATGGGAATCATCTTTGTACTCCTCTTTTTTTTTTCTTTTTTTTTGTTCTGATTAGCAAGGTGATAAGAGCATCGGATTCCGCTGTTCACCTTGACTACCTACCTACCACTAATTGAAAGAATTTAAAAGATGATGAAAGATTTGAGAGAAGAATCTAGAATAGTTTTAAAAAAAAAGGGAGCATCCTCTGTAGTCAGAGCCCTGCTTACTTTGTACTCCATTTTTTTTATTATTATTATTATTTTTTTTGGGGATTTGTACTCCATTTTATAATCAAGAGCCTTGGGCACTGGACATGGTTTTCCGGACTTTTTCCCTTTCGGGGGAGATAATTTGCAAAATACCCCCATGAGTTGAGATATAGGCCAAAATGCCCCTAAAAGGTGTGAATAGTGGAATGCCCCTCTGACAAAAACAGCCTTTTGTGAAATACCCCTGGCATTGGTTGGACCCCCCATCTTTGCAATATACCCGTACCGGGTACCGTCCAACTTTGCAAAATGCCCTGGTACTTTCCAACTTTTCCAAGGCCCGGTTGCAAAATGCCCAGGCCCTCACCGGATTGCAAATTTGCGCATGGGCCTTACAGGGCCATAACACAAAAGAATTCAGCTCAAAAGGGCATTCTGCTATACCCTTATCTTGCAGGGGCATTTTGGCATATATCTCAACTTCTGGGCGTGTTTTGCAACTTATCCCATTTTTAAGGATCGGTTATTCTTTGTAAAATGTTGACCAATATGAAAAATGAACATTGAGAAATATGAAAAATGTTTCGTGAATTTAATTATTATTATTTAAACTTTAAAGGTCCAATTAGGAAAACCCTATGAAATCCAGCTGCTGTTGGGACTGCCCCCTTTCTGCTCTCCGCATAGAAAACCAAGCCCGCTCTTTGTTGCCCACACTTGCCCACTAGGTGCAAGGTCTCAATCCCAGGATCCGCAACACGATAGACTACACGTAAACCTACTGGGCTAGCACAAAAAAAAAAAAAAAAAGCAAAAAAAAAAAAAAGGCACCTTGTTCGCTGACAACACTTTGGGTGGTCCCATGCTGCGCAGGCTTGCCTGGACTTCGATTCGCCAACAGAGGTCACATACTTCCGGCAGGCTGGGCCTCGTGAAAAGGTATATTTCCTTTCCTTCCCCCCCCCCCCCCCCCCCCCCCCTCCCCCCCAAGTAAGCTCCATTCTATCGGTGGGGAGAAGTATCTGCTGGAAACCAGGCCCAGCATCCCCCAAAAAAGGTAGAAAAAAGTTCCCCCCCAAAACAGGTTCAGGTTCCCACAATCCTCCCTTTTTTCCACTGTCATCCTTTTCGGTGTCAGACGACTTGAAAAATTATCCAACCGAGGTCACATAATCCCGGCAGGCTGGACGGATGGGGTCGGCTTACGTGATTCGAATAAGTCGACTCGCTATCGGCCGATCTGTCCTACTTTTGACGAGCCTATGTTTCAAACAGGGAGGATAGTAGCTCCTGCGCTTAATCACCTATTATACAGATTGCTTCGGGATTGACATTTCAGTTTACAGTGAGTTAGACATTTGAAGACTCTTCTTAACCGGATCAATGGGAAGGTCATCATTCGCCTCAACTTTTGTTCACCATAGGAGGACTTACTGGAATTGTATTTAATTTAGCTAATTCTGGTCTTTTTTTTTTTTTTTTTTTTCCCCTTGACATTGCTCTACATGACACTTATTATGTAGTAGCACACTTTCATTACGTACTTTCTATGGCAGCCGTATTCGCTCTATTTGCAGGACTCTGCAAAAATGTCTGGATTTCAGTATCCAGAAACCTTACTAGGTCAAATTCATTTTTGGATTACTTTCTTTGGTGTGAATTTGACCTTCTTTCCTACGGAAGTGTGGTAACTGTGGTTGCATAGTACTTTGACACCAAGGACCACACCATCAGATCCTCCGTGTCGTTGACTGGATTATTGCCTTTTTTTTTTTTTTTTTTCCCCAAAGGTCTTCACCGTGAGAAGGGTCGGGAGTTTGTAAGAGCCAACACTAGAGGAAGAGACAGCTTGTTTGGTTTGACTAGGGAGCAGATCACTGGAGGCTCCTGCATTTAAACGGCATTGTGAAGTTTGTTCGTATTGAACTGATCCATACCATTGGCAATACCTACACAACCAGTATGCTGCTAAAACAGGAGGTTGGGATCCCAATGGGCAAGAGTACCAGCCCCCCGCTAGCACGCATAGTGTGTGTGCATATGGTGAGTACCTGTTTATCTGTAGTCTGGTAAGGTACGGTTGACGCGTTTTTGCCCCGCGAGTTATTGATGATGTCACCCTCGTTACTGTATCTTTGTCAGAAGAAGTTCCGGACGTGTTACCTGGAGGAGTTGTGCTTGAAAAAAAAAAAAGAGAACTGACAATGGCAGTGGACAGCGCGGAGTCCTTGAGTTCCTCGGCTGCCGGATCAGGATAGCACGCAGTGTTCATTGAAATCCATTTCTTTCCATACTTGGGTTGTGTACAGTTGTCAAGGAATAAACACTGCGTGTGGAGATCTGAGGAATTGGAGGGGAAAAAAAAAACAAAAAAAAAACGGACGAGCGTTAAAAAAAAACAAAACAAAAAAAAAAACGGACAAGTGTTCAGGTCATGGGGGTTGCAAGCGGCAGAAGAGTGCTATCGTGGGTAAGTTACCTACACAGGAGTGAAGGGTTCGCCCCCTTCCTAGCAGGAGTGACTCTCATCCCCACAGCACCTGGCGACTGTGGTGCATTAGCCTCCCAGCCGGGTGCCTCGGGGATGCAGGACCCTGAATTCGCAGGGGATGCACCCTGGCACAGCGGCCTGGGTAGCTCCGATCCAGCAGCTGATGCTCCTGGGTGTGTGTAGCGAGGTCTCTCTTCTCCCTTCTCCCTCTCCTGTGAGAGTCTCGGTCTCGAGTGATCCCTGAGTGAGTGGATGGGTCCGCTGTGCCGACAGGTGGGCTGAACCGGGCTCGTGAAGCCCCCTGCCGGACTTCCTCCCTGGGTCATATCCCTGACACCCCGCAATCCTTTATCGAATTGGCTGGAATACCTCCTCCAGGAGTGAAACCCCCATGCATGTCCTTACCTCGGAACGAAAGTTACCATTATTTATTTAATTTATTTAGTTTATTTAAACTACGCTATATTCTTCTGTCTATTCTTTTTACTTCACATGAGCTACCTATCCAAGGCTGCTGGATATCAAGGGCACGCCACCCACCCATCTACACGTGCTAGCACCAACCTCCGTCTACGCCTTAACCATTTAAAAATTAAAAGGTTTCCTGTTGGAATTTTTTACACATTTACTGAGAAGGTTCGCCCTTCGCAAGGGTAAGATTTGGAAACAAACTGTAGATCTCCTCGACCTGTGAGCACAGGCAATGTTACATACTTCAATGAGTATGGGCAGAACCAAAGATCAACCAATGTAGGATGAGCATATATGCAGCGGAAGTCTGATAAACGGACCGACTCACATAGACTGACTCACATAGATATCACTCCACACACATACAATCGTGAGATGGTGGGGTCTGGGCCAAGCATAGACGATGCCCAGACCTCGTACACACATACACAGATGAGAGGTGGGAGGAGAGACGAAGGAGGTGGGAGATGTAGGTAGCACCAAATGTCACCGAGATAGAAACCAGTAGGTCACCGTTATGGTAATCCAAAATGTCCTCGAACAAGATCAAAATGTCGCGGACAATAAGTCACCAATGTCGGAGATA